GGGGGAGGAGGAAAAAAGTGCTTCAAGTGAAACCCATTCAGTTTCCTGGAAAGATTGTGGAGTTCCTGAGGCTGGAAATCTGTAAGATCAGGTCAGGCAAACATCTCGCAGGAGTGACATGGATGTAGTTGGTCCTGCCTGGAGTTCAAGGCAATGGGCTAGATGATGCTATGTTGTCCTTTCAGGGCTTTACAGCTCTCTGATGTCCCAGTGTCTTCCCAAAGTGTAAGGCAATGGGAATATAAGCTCTGAGCCTCCTCTTTATGTTTTTGTAGACCTGACTAATCCCATGTGGTTGAGTGTTTGTGAGGGTTTGCTCTTACAGAGTTCCCAGTGGCTCTACAGCCAGCCAGCCAGGTTTGGTTTGGGTGGATGTAACACCAAAGTTACCCTAGTCTGGAGGCTCCAGTGGGAAATTGTCTGGAGCGGGCAAATGCCTGGGAGAGTATGACACTTAGAGGAGGGGAGGTGGGACAGGAGATCGAAAAGCAATTGGTGTGAGGGGGAAGGTCAGAACAGGTGGTAGGAAAACTCCTTTTCAGATAGAGGGACAGAATCATGGAATGGTTTGGGTCGGAAGGAACCTTTAAAGGTCATCTAGTCCAACCCCCCTGCAATGAGCAGGGACATCTTCAACTAGATCAGGTTGCTCAGAGCCCCATCCAGCCTGACCTTGTCCATTTCAATCATTGGAGAGGACCAATGTGTAAGTCTCATTCAGAGGTGGGAACGATCTAGCAGTTCATTCCTCTCTTCAACCTGGAGAGGGGAAGAGGTCTCAGCTGCAGCTGCTGTTTGTGGTCTCCTTTAAGCAGCACTTCAGTTTATATACCCTGCCTGGGAAAGCCCAAGTCTTTCAACCTTCAGGTTTCCAAAACATGTAGCAGCTGCTGGCCAGCCCCAGCCACTCGCTGCTGTTGGAGGTGAAGGTCAGAGTTGTTCCTGAACCCTCTTCCTGTTGGAGGAGCGGTGGCAAAGACTCCTGTGGGAAAGGCTGCTGAGTCAACCACAGAGCGTGCGGCTACCAGTGAGGCAGAGGAAAGCCTCCACACTGTAAAAATAGCTGCACTAGGAGCCCTAATATACTTAAGTGCTTATTTTTCCATGTGTGATCTCATGCAAACCAAGCTGCTGGGCAGTATGACATAGCAGTTGGCCAAAAATAAAATGTAACTCAATCAAAATGTTTTCTTTTTTTCTGAAGTTAACCTTTGATGGGTGGAAGAGACAGGTACCCTGTTTTCTCATTTGCATTAAGGTATTGTTAGGAAAAAAAAAATCTGGGGGGAAAGACAGGTGACGATGCCGTTGACACCTGGTATCCATTCTGTGATGATGGTCACAGGTTAAGGACTGAAATCGTAGCTCTCTTGCACAAGAAAGTTATGCCTGAAATACAGCGAGAAAATGTACACGGGATTTCTCTGGGTGCTTCTCCAGATGATTTCACTGGACTGAGTTTTGGTGGGCATTTGATGCCGCAGAAAAGGCACAGACTTGAGAGCATTTGAAGCTGAAGCCCATGATGAAGGAGTCCCAGTACCAACAGGCTTGGAGCAAGGCACTCTAATCCCTGTTGATAAGTTTCAGAAAAATGTCTTTAGAGGGCTTTAGAGGTTCATTTTCTTTCACTGTTTGATGCTTGGCCTGTTAGGTGATTTTTTTTATTGTTATTTTTCTTTACTAGATGATCTTTAAGGTTCCTTCCAACCCAAACCATTCTATGATTCTATGAATTGTGGTAGATCTGTGCTGTAGAAGGTGGGCTGAAGCCACAAAACCTGTTTAACAAAAGCCATCAGATGCCTGGAAGTGCTGGGAGTTTGACCACTGTCCTCTGCCAGGGCTAGAATTAACACTTTTTGGGAAGAAATGAAATGAAATGGATGCTGAAAGACCTTTGTAATCCTGAATTTCACATGCAGAAGTGTGTGCATCTCATAGCAAAATTCTGGATAAAAACAGGCAGATTTGGGGGATTGTTTGTTTTCCTAGCTATCAACATCATTTTTACTGATTCCAGGTTTTCTTGTTTCTGTAACAGTGTAAAACCAGGGGAGAAAACCCCAGACACCACAATCTTGTCATTGAGCTTCTCCTCTGCAGGGCCTCCGACCTTTTTCTTCTGGACACGCGGGCGGTGTGGGCCTCGGAGGAGGGCTGGCTGGAGTTTGATGTCACCGCCACCAGTAACATGTGGGTGATGAACCCTCAGGACAACATGGGACTGCAGCTGAGCGTGGTGACCCAGGATGGTAGGTTACGGGCCAGTTAATGCGCATCACCTCGTGAGCCTCTTGGATGCTGTCTGCAAGCGGTGCTAACACAGCCCGGTTGTGCTGTGGGGGGGAGCACCCTGCCTTTGTAGGCAGTTGTAGACAACTCCATGAGCAAGTCTCTGAGGGCACGGGTTGAGGGCTGTCAGTTCTTGGCTGTCCCATGATGGACATGTCTTTCCCCATGAGTGAGGTCAGGCATCTCTGAACAGGACCAGGATGAGCTGGTGGAGGTGGGCTGGAGTAGGGTCCCAGTTCCTGAGTAGGAGGTGGAAGGGGGCATGGAGCTGCGATCCCAGGTGGGGTGAGATTTAGGGGTGAGAGGAAGAGAAGAGGGCAGGTATATGGGTATGTGCCTCCCCACATGGGCTTACAGCAGCCCTTGTGACTGCTGCGGCTGCCATCGCTGCCCAGATCTCATCAAACCTGGGGTGGGAGCCCCATGCTGGAGAAGCGATGCAGTTGCTGTGTGAGGCTGATCACTCCGAGGGTGGCTGCAATTATAACATTTCACAGCCTGCAGAAACTTTGAAAGGTGGAAAAGGAGAGAAGAGGCTGCAGAAGAGCACGAAATTGAGTATTGGAAGACAAGCAGTGAGGAAGAAAAGGATCTAGATGAGCAGAAAGTGACTAAAAAGATGACAGTGACATAGGAAGCAGTCTCCAACCTTGTGTTTTCTTCCTGTTGTTTCATGCTGGGGTTTGGTACACCTGTGGGGTCAAATGAGACCAGAGAGGCTGTCCACTCTTCTCCCTGAGGAAATGTTAGTGCCAGCCTCCGCCTCTGAAACTGGCTGCAAGCCTGTCTCTGTGCTCCTGACAAAAGCACCCCATCTCTTTGCCTTCTGCTTTCCCTAGAGGTCTCCCAATCCCATATCTGCTTCTTGTGTTTCACAGGCAGGAGAACTAATTTCATGACGCGTCTGGGCTTTGTGTTTTATATACCTATCTATACACCTCTTCAATGCCTAAACAGAGTAGAGATGCCACGGAGGTACCAAAGAGACAGGTGCTGCGGTGGAGCCTCTTGTTCAGGATCGATTGGGTGCTGTCGTAAAAATGTCCATAGGTCACGGTGGCAGGAGGGGGATGTTTAACGATAAGAGTGTGAGCAAGAGGAAGGGTAACACTGCTCGTGGGGATGGCGCAATGGTGGAAGGAGCAGTCCAACAGCACTGTTTCACTAACACTTTCCTGTTTGGTTTGAAGGTTTCAGCATAAATCCTAGAGAAGCAGGACTTATAGGCCGAGATGGACCTTACGACAAACAGCCTTTCATGGTGGCCTTCTTCAAAGTGAGCGAGGTTCATGTCCGGACCACGAGGTCAGCGACAAGCAGGCGCAGGCAACAAAGCCGAAACCGCTCCACCCAGGCTCAGGATGTTTCCAGGGTGTCTAGTGTCACAGGTAATCATGCAACACCCATTTTGTCTGGGAGCTGGGCGACGTCTTGTCATGTTTCTATTGCTTTGGTGTGCAAAAGCAAGAAGGCAGGTGCGAGGTGGGCTGCTCTTCCTTGGGGGAACAGGTTACACCTGTGAGGGGATGGAAGAGGGAGTCTCACATCATGAGACTTTGAGGAGTCTTTGTGAACCCAGGGTAGAATCCAAACCCTGGGGTGAAGTTACGGCCATTGAATTCAGGGGGGTGAGGCGTTTTAAACCCTGAACTTTTTGTGTGTAGGTTGCTTTCTATGGAGTATTTGCCTAGAGTTATGCCATGTGAAATGCAATATATAAAAGATTCCATCTCAGTATTCAGTGGGATTTGTGGTATTGCACATACACATTTCCAGCAGAGTCCTCTTTCAGTTTTCTTTGTAAAAACCTTGATACAACAGCAAAAGTTCTTTTATTTTTTTCCCTGTGAGAACAGCAGTTTATAAACGGTGAAATGCATTTCCAGGCAGGCAAGGAGGCTTGCCTGTTTGCTGTGGAAGAGTTGCACGTTCCAGGTGTTGTACAGCAGCCTTGTGAGGGCTGTTGTAGGTTCGTGGGACAATAGGATAACTCTGAAATTTTTATAAAAATTGAGTGTCCCATCTTCTAAATCTTGTCTGTTTTCCAGCCATTCTGCCCTGCATCACAGTGCTACAAGTCATTCATTCATTGAGTACCTTCTTTCCTCTCAAACATTTCAGCCTGTTCCAAGTTCCTTGATTAATTTGCTTATGCTGCCCCCTTCATTTCCAAGAGGATCCCTGCTTTTCCTGTGTCTACAAATGACTATACCCCAAGGAAGAGAGGCAGCTGTATTTTTTAGTCTACGTACGGACACAGTGTGGGAAGATGAGCCAGCATTGCTGTAACTTAGCCAGTGTGGATCTGTAGGCTGTCCCCTGCTCTTGCATGCTCAGATTGTGGCTGAGCCGTGATTGCACCCAAGGTGGCTCCATGGTGGCCATGGTGCTGGGAGGCTGCAGGGAGCCAGACCCAGGCTGGGGGCCTCTCCAGGGCTGGCAGCCAGGTTTCAGGCATGGCAACGTGCCAATGCAGCCCTATTGCTCCAGCCCAGCATGGTGATGGACTTGCCTTTTGGGCTAGTGCGTGCCAGCAGCAGTTGGCCACTTTTGCAGCCATTGTATGTCCTCGTGGTGCATGCTGCAGTGTGGCTGCGGGTTCCCATGCCATGCCGTGCAAGTGCCGGACTCGGCTGGGTGTGAAATGACGCTTCACAGATTTAAAGAGCAGGAGGAGCCACTCAGTCCTGCAGCCTGACCTCCCCAAGGTAGGCCAGCCAGTGCCAGCATGGCGCTGCCAGAGGAGTTATCATCTAATATGGCATGAGAGCCCTCTGCCAGCCCCACAGGTGGAACTGTCTATTGTTCCCAATTGCTGGGATGTGCTTCAGTCCTGTGCCTCCAAACTACAGTTTTAAAGGTGGGCATCACAGCTGCTTGCTGGGTTACTTTCCCATGTGATGCGCTTGCCAAGGGCATAGGTCATTTATTCATCTGGGCATTATAAGCAACAAGCCCAACATTTACTCAGGCAGCATGCAATTCTCCCACTCAGGTTGCTCTGGGTGCCATGCTCCCTTCATCACAAAAAGCAATTTTTTAATGCATTGACAGCAGTTTGGGAAAGTTACTTGCTGTGTTGCTCTTTTGTGGTGCTGGTAGTGGAGTCAGGGGAGGCTCCAGCTTTCTCTCCCCAGCTCCGTAAGCTTTACAGTGCTAAAAACAAGTTTTTACTAGTATTAAATCAGGCAACGTGGCTCTAAGCTCCAGAGGGAGCAGATATATTGGGCAAAAAGGTCCATTTTTATATTGCTGCTTTCTTGACTACACCACACATCAGGCTGTAAAATTATAAAATGACAAAAAGGCAAAAAAATAGATGGTTATTCTGTGGTCTCAAGGGCTTTTTTGAGCTCTTCTAGCTCAAAGCCAGCTCTAATTTAAAACCTGGAATTTGGCAGTTCAGTAGTCAACAAGGTATAGTTGAGCCTCTGTGGATTTAAGGCAGGGGAAAGGAGGGGAATTTAAAGTTAAAATGTATGTTTGGTTGGTTTCTGTGTTTAGAAAAGAGAGACTACATGAGCTTATTTTCCTTTCTAAGTGTGACACTCTTAGACTCTGTTCTCCTTAAGAAGTGTTTGATTTAATAGCACAGGAGGCACCAATGACCAATATGTGTTTTTAGCATTAAAGAGATCACGGATTTTTCTTTTTTAGTTGTGTGGGTTCCTACAGCTGTGCCCCGATGATGCACGGTGGGGCTGGGGAGGCGTTCACCCCAGGATGAAGCACAAGGCGAGTCCAGGGGTTACCCTGAAGGCTGCCTTGCTCTTCTGAGGGTGCCCTGATGCATCTGGACCCAAAGTGGGTGCAGAACTGGGGTGCTGAGATTCCCTTGTGTGCGTCTCCCCGCCTGCACATCTTCCTCTCTCACCGTATCTTACGTCTTGTCAGATTTTTGGTCTGTGCTCTTCCCTGAGACAGGATTGCTGCTGCCTGTCAGGGCTTGAGAGCAGTTTCTCCCCTGAAGAGCAAGGCAGCTGGCTGGTGTTGATGGGTTTTTGTAGACTGAACTTTCCTTCCTCTATGTTAGTGAATACATGGGGTTTGCTTTCTTCAGTCCAAAAATGAACCTTTTCCCAAAAGATGCAGTGAGTTGGGTTGGGACAGTATGTTTAAAAAAGCCCCATTTACTATCTAAGTATGGAAAGCATTTCAAGCCCTGCAGTTTGGAGTGCATGAAGTGTGCTGCTGGGCTGGTACTGGATCTGGTGAGCCGTGGGGTGACATGAAGGCATGCTGCTACATGCAAGATTGGGACCCTGCTGTGTTCCCTTTGATGTGCAGTCGTTGTCCTGCAGTCAGTACCAAGTGCTCAGATGCTAAGGTTATGGCTGTGGCATAAGAATCTCAATGGTCTGTATTTTTTCGCCAAGAATGCTCATTTCCCTGTATTATAAACACGTAATTATGACTGGCTTATATAAAGCAGAACTGAGTAACCCCCATGGTTATAAACTGCTTTGACATAGAGTCCTGCGTCAATGCATTCCTGGAGCCAGACTCCGTTCTTCTGCAGAAGGAGGATGAACAGGAAGAAAAAGAAGTATTTTCATCTGTTGAGGCAGAAAATCATATGCCAGCTTTAGCCCAGGACATGGAGGAACAACGTGGGAGGGAGGAGTGTGAAGCTGTCTCCTCGTCCAGTGGTGCTGACCCTCCTCTTCTGCGAGTCAGCCTTCAGGCACATCCCTCCCATCAGCCCCTTCTGATGGAGACAGTCACGTTGAAGTGTCTGACTTCGGGCTGCACTTGCTGCTCCAGGTGGAACTCATGCTACAGCCCTTTTCGGGTCCTTTTCTTCAGCCACCCCAGAGCCTCCAGGACTGGTGTGAGGTGCTCCATGAGAAATGGAGGGTCCCTCCAAGTGGCCTTTCCTTCCAGCAGATGTGCACGGCACTAGACAGATTTCCTCACATTTAGAGGAACTGAATACCACAAAGGGCAGCACACACAAACACTGAAGGCAAGTAAGGCCAAATGCTTCCGTGGTGGCAAGGATGTTGTTAGTAAACATCATTATCTCGCAGCCAATCTTTCCCTCAGTAGAGCGCTCGGATGCAGATGGGAGCGGCATGGCCAGTGTTTCTGTGTGTGCCTTCACACGCGGGTGCGCGTCAGCCCGATGACATCTCCCCTTCTTCCCACCCAAGCAGATCACTTTCATGTGAAGTGGGCTGTTATTAACTGCGTGATCAGTTTACACCGGCTTTATCCGGACAAATCACCAAATTCAAACACCAAGAAGAAGAGGCTGGCCTTGGAGACCTCTGTCAAAGCTGTTTTGGACCACAGAAGCAATTAATTACTGTGTGGAATTTGCTAAGCTGGTACCTCGGGAGCAGCAAGGGTGTTCCGAGATGGATCGACCTCAGTAAATGTTTATATATTCTTTGCCAGCACTTAACGTGGGAGAGGTTATAGGAAATCTAAGGTGGGTGCGTTAAGTATCCATAGGAGGAAGACCATTAGGGTCAGGCTATTCTCTCTCCCCTTTCAGCATCACACATGCCAGTGTCCAGCCTTAAGAGAAACATCTGTGCTTGCAGAAAGTCAGACTTGCGTTCTGGTGAAGGCAGACGACATTCAGTGCAAACGCGCTGCAGAGACAAGCTGCCTTAACCATGCTGTTTTAACTGCGCTGCCCTGGAAGTTATTTTTAAGTGCAGAACTAGGGGTTTGGGGTTGTTTGTTTTTTTTTTAAATCTCTGTTTTAGACAAAATAGTTTGCAGTGTGATTAAATGCAGTGCCTTGTAAATGCCAAGCTAGTGTTTCTGAATTGGTACATTCAGGGGGAAAAAAAGAGACAATTTTGCTAAGCCCACAATGAGCCTACAGGAGCTCCCAAAGCAGCTCCCTAAACTTGCAGAGATTTCGAAGGTCTCTGGCAAGCAACCCTCACAAATCATGTCGTGGCAGTGTAAGCCAGCCCCGCGGCCATGGTTTGCGGTGTCCCCCCGCTGCAGGCTGCCTCCTCTCGTCCCTCTCGGCTCCCCTCTGCAGGGCTGGCAGGGAGGGTCACGTACCCTGCTGCCTCTGGGCAGTTGGATCCTGTCCTGCCGTGAACCACCCCAAATGGTGGTTTGGGCTGAAACAGCTGAGCACGCCGGACTGGAGTAGCTGATGCTGCTTTCCAGGCTTTGGAGAAAATGTGTCGTGGAGGCCAGCTGCAGCAGCTCCATGAGCTTTAGCTCATTACCAAAAACTCTCTGCTGCGTGGATTCCTCTTTTTTTCAGACCCGTAATTGGCTCTGGGGCATAGGCTGAGCCCCAAACTGTAGGGAATGGATCGTTATTATGTGCATCGGTATTGCTGCATTTTTTGCCCCCAATTCAGAAAGGCACTGCTAAGCACTGATTAAAGGTTTGTCACGTCCCTGAAGTTGG